ACAGAATCAGATGGCTTAAAAAGGAACTTACTACTGTAATATAGTTCTAATTCTTTTTTTTTTTTTTTAATAGTTCTAATTCTTTAAAATTCTTTCCATTTGTTGGGAGTTCTTCAAAAAACTGGCATTTGAGTAACAATAATCCTCAGGTGATATAAGAAGTGTAAGAGAAAAGTAACATTAACCAAACTATAATTGACCCACTGGCCTGGTTACTGAGCAAATCATGGCTCTCACCCTGAGAGAGGCTTCTGGAGCTCCCCGAAGTTTTAGAAGACTGGCTTTGAGAAATCCAAGGTCGCAGGGACAAATAAGTACAGTAAATGTTTCATGATACAGCTTCCTTTTGGAGATTCACAATGTATGTTAGGATAGTAAAGGCTCTGAGAAGTCCTGCAATGCCAAAAACTGTTTTAAGTTTATAACCCAGTGTGTTTCCCTTATTTAATGGGCTGTACACCGTCTTTATGATTGTTATAAATGGTACTAGAATGTTTCCATCTAAATTCTCTTGAACTTTGAAGATTTTTGAACTTGATCATTCTGGCTCCATTTAGGACACCAGCTTCGTGCCATGATCCATGGCTCCACCGTCTTCAACTATCTTCCCTAGGAAGGTTCTATTCTGACCTAACTGCCATCTTGCTCATCAGTGCCTCCAACTAACTGGAGGACTTTTCTTTGGCCTGGTCCCTAACAGGTCCCAACTCATATGTTCCCATTTCTAAGAAGAAATACTTTTCCTTTACTTCACAAAATTATGTACTGCCCTGGATATTTAGTTAATTGTGATGTAACTGGATTTCCTCCTTGCCCTGGCCAGTGTAGCTCGGTTAGAGTGTTGCTCATGCACTGAAGGGTCACAGTTTCAAAGCCTGGTCAGGGCACATACCAATTGATATCTCTCTTACACACTGATGTTTCTCTCTCCCTCCCTTCTTCTCCTTCTAGATTCGATGAGAAAAAAGTTACTTCCTACTTCTCCTAGCCACCATCACAACTCCTGGTTTCATGATCCCTAAGAAGAAACACTCAGGGACCTTCATTCTCTTAGTTGACAGAGTTGTTGTCCTTCCGGACAAGACTACACTTAGAGTTCTGGTGTAATAATTTATCTTCCCTGGACTTGTACCTATTTCCTAGTTTGTAATTTCCTAGTTAGGTAATAACCCTTGGCGGGGTCTCAGCAGAAGAGAGGGCTGAAGAGAAATGGTCATCAGTACCCATCAGCTCTTTCAGTTATCAGGGAAGCTGATGAAGCCAAGATTGCAAGTGGAATTCCTGTCCAGGATAGCTAGCTGCTTTCAGAATAATACCTCAATCGATTGTTATTCCTGGGGAAATAACCTGAGTTCATCTAGGGTGACTGATGGCCCATCCCCAGCTGTGAGCAGCCCTGACTCTTCCAGGCTCAATAAAACCGACCCTGAATGGCCCCATCTTTCATCAGAGCTCAATACTGTTTGAGGTTCTCATTCAAGAGTCATTTTCTTAGAAGGGGTCAATGGGGGGGAAAATGGGTCACCTGTACTACTTTCAACAATAAAGATTAATTTTTTAAAAACAGTCATTTCCTTCTTCCTGGTCTATTACAACTCACTTTTTCTACCTCTTTTAACTAAATAATTTAAATGCTGGGTAACACTGGACAACCCACATCTACCTTTGCTCTCTGAGTAATGGCCAGCTATTCTTTTTTTTAAACATATTTTATTGATCTTTTACAGAGAGAAAGAGAGAGGGATAGGGAGTTAGAAACATCCATGAGAGAGAATCATCGATCAGCTGCCTCTTACACACCCCCTACTGGGGATGTACCCGCAAACCGGTTTTGGCATGGCCAGCTATTCTAACAGAAAGGGCTTCCCATGTGTCATCACCTCTCCTGCAAATTCTTATTAAAAAAAGTTTTGGTGGCCCTGGTCAAGTAGCTCAGGTAGTTTGAATGTCATTCCCATATGCCAAGATTGCAGGTTCAATCCCTCTCAGGGCACATACAAGAATCAATTCATGGGTGTATCGATAAGTGGAACAAATCGATGTTTCTCTCCCTCTCCCCTCTCTCTAAAAATCAATCAATAAAAAATTTTAAAAAAGAAAATAAAGTGGCGATAGAAAGGCAACTGAATTGCTTTAAAAAAAAAATGTTTTGGCCGATACCGGTTTGGCTCAATGGATAGAGCATCGGCTTGGGGACTGAAGGGTCCCGGGTTCGATTCCGGTCAAGGGCATGTACCTTGGTTGCGGGCACATCCCCAGTAGGGGGTGTGCAAGAGACAGCTGATCGATGACTCTCTTTCATCGATGTTTCTAACTCTGTATCTCCCTTCCTCTCTGTACAAAATCAATAAAATATATTTTTTTAAAGAAAAGATGTTTTGGTGGAATAGGATGGTCATAACAGCAATATATATATATTATATTTTAGGTCACTCCTATAGACTTACTATAGCTTAAGTTGTCAAATTCTTACAAATGAGAAGAAAATCCATTTCTGCCCCCTCCATTGTTACCGAGGCTGAATCGATGCTGCTGAGCCATGTCCACGCTCCAGCGCTGCCTTTTTTTAGCCTGAGAAAAACAAAGTCAGCTGCTCTGGAAGGCAGCCAGGCTCCTCGGGCACCTTCCTTTGTGACTTTTCAAACTTCAGAAGGACCAGCAGGTCGAAAGGACTCTTAGATGGCCTTTCCTCTGGAGAATTGTCGTTGTGTAGTTCTTTGTTTATTATATAATTAAGATTTTTTTTTTTTCCTACAACCAAGCTAAAGATATATTTTTCCATTTCCTGGGCAAATCACATTTCCACATAACCCTAGACACATGCAGTCACTCACCATGATGAAAAAGCTTGAACGTCTTTATAACTGTGATCATGTGGAAACCCTAGATGATGACCCTAAACAGAAAGTTCTCGTGGCTGGGTTTTGTCACAAATGAGGGCAGCATGAGGTCTCAGTAGTAGGCCGGAGGGTCAGATACAAGACCGAGGGGAGCCTAGGCATAGACAACATTGCTCTGGGCTAATCCTATGAAAAGAGACACCATTCTGGCTTCCCTAAGGGAGGGGTAGAGCATGGTGACCCAAATTGGGAGTCTGACATCAGGGAAGTTGTGCTTTGGGGCACAGACAGGAAATATAAAGCTTCAAATGACATCAAGAAGAGCTATTTAGGATTAAAGGTTCAGGGGATAAAGAGTCCAGCGAAAAAGCATTTAAAACAGGAAAAAAGATGAAGACAATGGAAAGCATCTGCTGTAAATCCTGGGGGGCAGACCCTGTGGACACAGCTGAGCGGGAGTCACTGCACCTGCAGCCAGAGAGAGAGAAGCCCAGACTCCCCCAGCCACTGGAATGAGAAAGAAAGCTGTCCTATATTTGGAATAGAAAACAAAAGTGGATTGGCTGTTTCCCTGTGGAGAATGAGGTGTGGACCTCCACCTGACATTCAGAGCTGCCCTGTCCTGGCCTCCATGTGTCCAGGGGGCCAGGATCCAGTGACATCACGTAAGCCACTGGGCCTGGAATGAGCATGGTATATAAGAATTGTGGGCCTTCTCTCAAATTCATGTTGAAGCCCAGCCCCCAATGTGATGATATTTGGAAATGGGTCCTGTGGTAGGTGAAGAGGTTTAGATGAGGTCAGGAGAGTGGGGCCCTCATGATGGGATCAGTGCCCTTATAGCAATAGAACAGGAGGCTTGCTTTTCTCTCTCTGCTGTGTAAGGACACAGCAAAAAGGTGGCTTTTGGCAAATCAGGAAGAGGGCCCTCACCAGGAACCAAAGTAGCCAATACCTTGATTTTGAACTTCTAGCCTCCAGAATGTGAGAAATACATGTTGTTTAAGCCACCCAGTTTGTGGTATTTTGTTATGTATCTCAAGCAGACTAAGACCCTCCCCACTACTCAAGGGCCCATACCTGGGTTGCAGGTTCAATCCCAGGCCTGGTCAGGGTGTGTGTGAGACAACTAATCGATATGTCTTTCTCACATCTCTCTCTCTCTCTCTCTCTCCTCCCTCTCTTTCTTTCTTTCTTCTTCTTTTTAAAAAAAATATATTTTATTGATTTTTTACAGAGAGAGGAAGGGAGAGAGATAGAGAGCCAGAAACGTCGATGAGAGAGAAACACCGACCAGCTGCCTCTTGCACACCCCGCACTGGGGATGTGCCCGCAACCAATGTACATGCCCTTGACTGGAATCGAACCTGGGACCTTTCAGTCCCCAGACCGATGCTCTACCGCTGAGCCAAACAGGTTTTGGCTCCCCTCCTTCTCTTTCACTCTCTCAAAAAAAATCAATGGAAAAAATATCTTCGGGATAGGATTAAAAAAAAACCACAAAAAAACAATAACTCAACTCCATCACAGTTCAGTTAACCATTTTCTTGTTATGACAGTCTGATCTGTAGGCCACAGGGGAAATGATACAAAGAAAATACTACAACACAATGTGTTATAGGGTCCCCTCCTCCTTTTTTTTAAAGGAAATAACGGCTCTAGAGGTTTTTAGAATAAGAAATTAAATGGTTTTTATCAAGCTGTTGGAGACTGACCAATCCAGAGCCCTGAGTAAAATAGTTTGAATGTACATCTTTCTAGTTTCAAGGTTCTCCTGTAAGGGATAAAGCCACCGCCTTTAGGTATAAACCCTACCTTTCATTAATAACAAACATCTTTAATACCATGTTTCTAGAAACTGTTCTTCTGTTATAGTGAGCTATCACAAGTAGAACAGCCAAGCTATTTAAAAATGCAAGCAAAGTTAATTATGCAAAGTAACTCTCAAGGCATTTTAAATTAACATTCATATTCTGGAACAAATGAGAACAGTAGGGTTCTTGCATTACATATAACTATGTAATGGCCAACATTTAAATATTTCTGCTGAATTATTCCTCTATATTTTTATTAAATTGGTAAGATGAGAAATACAAGGGCAGTCCCAATTAATCTACTGATTATATGCTGAATATTTCAAAATGATTAAATAAAACTTACTGTGTATTCTGGTTCCAGATGTTCATTTGGAAGCAAGGGGAGGGGGAAGGGAGAGAGAAAAAAAATGGTGATTTAGACCACACTTACATGCAATAGAAAAACCACAGAACTAACATATATACTAGTGCATTATAATTATTAAAAATATGGTAAAGAAGCCTTCCAAAAATTAAACTTTTAGAAATATTAAATGCTTCCATGTTTGTTCTTAAAATTCTTTATATGGCACTTTGGTGTTGGTCTGATAAGGACCGTAAGACAATTCAATTAGCCTACGTGTTTGTGGCTAATTAAAAACCAAAGAGTTGGCATTATAAAAGCAAAATTAAAGACTAATAATTCCAGTCGAGCAATTTATTAACCACACAGGAAATCTTTTAAGTGGAAAGGCAGCTTTCAGAACCAATATGTTATGATGATATTCAAATGGGATCTGGAATTTTCATGTGTTTGAGGGCAGGAACTAAACTTTCTAAATTTTCTGGCCCCAGTTTCTAGTTCAGTATCAGCACAGATATGTCCTATGCTGTAGTTTAGGACAGAGAGACCCGACAGACTCTTTTACATAAGTAATAGCCAAGGTGTTCTTTGCGGGGTGGAACTGGGGTACTGTAAAGCAAACAAGTCAAAACAAACCACACTCCAAAATTACTTGAGAAATCACTTTAAGAAGGAAAGTGAAATTTCTTAGCTTAACACCCCCACTGCCTTCTGGGGAAAGTGAAGACTTTAAAAGACAATAAGAGTCTCCCACAAGTCTCTGCTGGGATAACACACCTCAAATCAGTGAAATCTGACCATGTTATGTTTTGTGCTACGTGTAACATACTGGCTGCACAAAGGACTTACCTGTAATTGTGTAGGGATAATAGTTCCAAGCCTTCTCTGTAACATAAAATATTTTGGGAACAACAGCTCTGGCCCAACTAGGCAGTTTGCTAAGAGGAAAGAAAGAAAGCAAAAAAAGACCATCAGAGTCTGTCTGGTGCTTTGCTATGTATGCTACCCTGTCTTTGTGGATGAGCTGACTGCTAGAGAGCAGAGGAGTCCTGAGGCAGCCACCCACCCCATCCCTCTGGTCCTGGCAGTTTATGGTTTTCGGTGGTAACCGGATGTGTGAAGGCAGAAGGTTACAGCCAGGTGTGGGAACCTCATAGGAATGGAAGCCTGTCCTCTTAGATCTGATTTACAAGGACATGGGAATTCAGTGGCTGGGAGGTGCTATGTTTGGTCTTTGTCTACTAGGAGTGATAGGATGGGAGAAGTAGTATGAAGGTATATTTAAACGAGAATCTGGGGGAATAGGTGTACAAATATTAGAGCCAGAGGTCGGCTTAACAATCCAAATGAGCCATGTCTTTTGAAAGTGGACTAAAGCAACAGAGAGTAGAACTTCAGAGAATGCGAAGAGAAACATAACATAACCCCTTCATAACTCTAGGGCTCACTATGTCTCCCTCAGAGACATACCCACATCCTAACCTGTGAATTTAACCTTATTTGAAAATAAGAGTTTTTGCAAGGCAAAGTCTCCCTAGGTTTGAGAAGGCCACGTGAAGACGGAGGTGGAGACTGAATGGAGGAATGCAGCCGCAAGCCAAGGACTGCCGCACATACCCCAGGTCAGAAGAGAGGCAGGGAACAGATTTTCCCTCAGAGCCATCAGAGGGAACTAGCCCTGCGGATGCCTGGGTCTTAGACTTCTGGCTTCTATAACAGGGAGAGGATACATTTGTATTGTTTCTGGCCACCCAGTTTTGGCAATTTGCTGCTGCAGCCTTACAAAACGAATGCGACAGAGCAGGGCCTCTGGAGCAGGGACCCAGGCAAGCCTGTACAGAAATCAGATTCTTTAAACAAAGAACACCCAGATGCACAGGTCCCAACACCTTTTGTAAACCAAGGGCTAATTAAGTTTTGTTTCCCTTCAGAGGCAAATACCACAGCAAAGGACAGGCCTAGAGAATTCCTTAAATATTATATGTAAATATACAGTATTATATATTCCTTAAATATGCCTGCACAATTTTATTTCCCCTCAGCAGTACTCCCTGGGGTTTTCTGTCTTTCCTATTCTGGTGCCTGCAGTGAGGTGTCTGGGACGCTGATGTCTAGCAGTACATCAGACCAGGAAGATGGTACAGATGCACAGCTCCTTAGGGCTGCATGTTGGCAATAAAGAACACCACGAGGCAGATTTAAATTCCAAGCTGATATAGGCAGGAAACGGGTGTGTGTGTGTGTGTGTGTGTGTGTGTGTGTGTGTGTGTGGAAATCACGCTTCCAAATCCCTAATCCCTCCTGGACGTGGAATTTAATGACAACCAGGGCCAGTAAAATACTGTGTACCTTGTATGTCTTCTCAAATTGTTTCTCCTGTCTCTGACAGTATCCAGGACCTGCTCTTTAAAAGACAAATATGTATTTTCAATGGTTGGTCGGTTGGATCCAACCCAAAGCTCTGGGCCTTTTCTGGGGTTAAAACAAAGGGGAGATGAAAGCTCCCCTGAGCCAGATGAGTGCGACAAAGCCCACTGCTTCAGGTGGGCCGTGGGGAGAGAGCCGGAGCCGCTTCAGAACTCACATAACCATCCTTCTTGCTGCTCTAAAGCAGAACGCCTCACTCCTATAAAATCATCTCAGCGGTAACTGCTCATTTACCTTACACTCACACCGCTCAAAAGGAAGGCGTTTTTATAGCTTCTGCCTGTGATTTATTTTTTCAGTCCTTGAAGTGGGAGCACAACTGGGGCTGATGTTCCACGTGGGTCATAAGGAAAACTTCCCCCGGGTTCCCTCCTCTTGGCCCCCAATTCCAGAGTGATATGGCAATGAGTAGCATAGAAAGGGTGGGTTCTACTCACAGGCAAGAGGATTGCAGGGTGACAAAGTAGGCAAGGCATTGTTTAAGTTAGACAAAGCATCTCTGACTCCCTCCCAGCACTGGGGCCCCCTATCCTCTGTCTTCCTTGGGGCTGGTGTTCCATCTACACCGCACCCCTCCCCAGATCCATTATGCTCCTCAGGCATGCCCCTCCGAGACCCAATTCGTTCCCTGTGTCATTTAATAAGCCTCCCAGCAGAAGCACATTCCCGAGCAGCCGTCATTTTCTGGAAGGAACAGGAAAGACACTGGCGATTTTCCATTCACATGGAAACTGTTCCCATTTGTAAATGGTCGGGACTCCAGAGTCTAGGATCCTATTTTAGCTGATTCATTCACGAGCTCTTGCAGGATACACAGCCCTCTAGTCAATTGCCTTTTCCAATGAGACACCCTAAAATACACAATCCTTCAGCCAAGATGGTTGGTATGATTTGATGCGACTGTTCTAATGAGTGTGGGAGGGAGGCCCTTCTGGGGTGAGCCATTTACCGGGCCAGGCGTCTGCATCGAGTTCTCTGATACTTCAGTTTAAATATTTTTAAGCCTATGAGCAGACTTTCTCTCAGACCCCGATTTCCCCAGAGCACATCATTATTCAAATCATTCTGGTCTGAGAAAGTAAAATGTAGTTTTCCCTGCAGTAATGACTTATCAGGGCTGCAAGCAAAAACGGAATTAAATTAGTCCCCACTGTTGCTGTCACTTTCACGATGTATCCTGTCACACCGCCTACAGTTCTAAGGAGACGTCTGTCATTCAAGTGCAGTACTAAGTGTCAAACAAGAACCTCTCTTCCCAGAACGGGGGCATGGTTCCAAGCATGTCCTCCTGGTCCGCTGGCCAGGACCAAAGCTCCCCATGGCACCTCTCGCCATGACCCAGGTTTAGAGACACTGAGGGGAGAGATGGGCACTTGTCCCTAAAGCCTTTACCATAACGCAAAGTGTGCTGCAGTGAAATGATACCAGGTTTCCCGAAGGCCTTTGTGGAAGACGGACTTTTCAAGACGTTTGGTTTCTTATTTTGAAACTTTAGTATGATGTAGAACATATCAGTGACACAGCTGGGTGGCCAATTCTTCCCAGTTTGCATGGATTGCCCTGGTTTTAGTGCTGGAAGTCCCACAGGCTAAATTCCTCAGTCCAGGGTAAACCGGGATGGCTGGTAGGTCATCCTAAAACAGTCATTCTCAATGGCAGGTGGGAGTTGGGATTTTGCAGCCCCCCACTCTGGAGGGACATTTGGCAAAGTCTGGAAACATTTTTGGTGATCATGACTGAGAGGGGTGGGTGGAGGGATGCTGCTGCTGTCTAGAGGCCCAGGATGCTGCCCAGTATCCTAAAATGCACACAACAATGCCCACAACAGAGAACTCTCTGGCCCCAATATGAACAGTGCCAAGACTGAGAAACCCAGCCTGGACCTGAGTGAATACAGTCACTGCAGCCTTCATACATTCTCCAGGTTTCCCTGGATCACAACTGACTCGAGAAGAAGGCCCCATAGGCAGGCATAATCCGGACACTCAGGTAAAGATTGTTTACCTCCTTCGTAAAGAATTTATGGAACTAGCCCTGACTGGTTTGGCTCAGTGGATAGAGCATCGGCCTGTGGACTGAGGGGTCCCAGGTTCGATTCCGGTCAAGGGCATGTACCTTGGTTTTGGGCACATCCTCAGTAGGGCGTGTGCAGGAGACAGCTGATTGATGTTTCTCTCTCTCATCAATGTTTCTAACTCTCTATCCCTCTCCCCACCTCTCTGTGAAAATCAATAAAATATATTAAAAAAAAAAAGATTTTATGGAACTGAAACATAAACATCCCCCTCCATTAGAAGCTTCTGGTACTATATAATAAAGACTATCACCGAGTTTCTTCGTGACATATAATCTTACTTCACAATTAATGTGCATTGGAGAATATTACTAGGCCCCGGGAGGTTCTAAATATCATTAGGTCAAATGTGATCTACATGGAATCTAATTTTATCAACAAGGACAAGATTTACAATGGTCTTAACTGGAAATTTTGGACGTCGACATTCCCAGCAGAAAGACGACAGGCTTCCTGAGTTCACAAAACAGTGCTTCGTCCAGGAGGTTCCCCGGCAGAGCGCACCTGAAGAACCACTGGTGCTGACCGCAGCTCACCTAAACCACTTTCAAAGGGCTTCGCTGCGGACCTGGCCGGTATGTCTCAATGGTTGAGCGTCGACCCAGGAACCAGGAGGTCATGGTTTGATTCCCAGTGCCCGGATTCAATCCCCAGTAGGGGCGTGTAGGAGGCAGCTGGTTGATGATTTTCTCTAATCATTTTTGTTATCTTTCTCCCTCTCCCTTTCTTTCTCTGAAATCAATAAGAACACATTTAAAAAAATGAAAGGACCTAGTTGCCTTCATGTCCTCATTTCCCACTGGTCCATTTGGCAATTTTTGGATAATAATCAATTATTCCTAGTATCCAGTTCCACCTACAGTAACTTCTGAGGTCTCTGTATTTCTTCTGCAGTGGCTGTACTCTTCCTAATGGTTTTTCTGGCTGGTCTTTTAGTTCTGCTCTTAATGTAATTCTTCCTATGGCAGCAGAGAGGAGCAGTTTCCAGGCTGGGGCCATCCCCTGCAAGAGGCGGGGCCGCTGGCTTCCCTCACGGGAAGTTCCTGGATACCTCCACCACTCTCCCAACTAAAAGAGACACTTTATGTGGGGATTCTGGGAAGAGGCCTATCTGGCACAGGTTCTTGAGAGGGCTTTGCTGGGACGGTGTGAGGGACATGTGGCCAGCATGCTGTGGGAACCCAGAGGAACAATCCACATGTGTCAACATCAGTTATCAAGGAACGAAGATGGCCAGGCCGGCGTGGCTCATTGGGTTGAGCATCATCCCTTGCACCAAGAAGTCACTGGTTTGATTCCCGATCAGGGCACATGCGCAGGTTGTGGGGTTGATCCCCTATCATCAATGTTTCTATCTCTTTCTCCTTCTTCCTTCCTCTCTCTCTATCAAAAGCAATAAAAACATTTTTTTTTTTAAAAGGAAAGAAGATGGGAGAC